CACCATATTAGTATGGTGTTCCTAATAATCCTTTAGGTGAGTGTACATTATAATGGTTGGTATAAGCATTAAGGATGATCTGTACTGCATTATAAAGGTATCTATAGTGCATTATAGATGAGAGCTTCATAGAGCATTCATTATGCAAAATACATACAGCCATAATGCGTTATGGCTTTTGACATTTATAGCCATGTTTATAATTCTTTATGAATGCATTATAATGCATTATGAATGTGTTAATATATTACTAAAAACATGGCCTTAAGTGTTTCATATTATTGTGAGGTTGTGCCAGAATATTGTAGAAGTAGGAAATATTACTGTGTTACTAGACACCAGCACTGTGGCTCTTTGGACAGGCACTGAAGCTGAAGACCATCGTGAGAGGAGACGCCCCTACTAGTCTTGTCACCACAGGGTTGTACAGAAAGGAGGTAAGAGTCCACTTAACAACCTGCTGCTGCTTTGTCATGCTGCTTATGTCAGGTTCCAGTGTGTGCATGGACGTGTCCCAGTGATGCATGGACGTGTCCCAGTGATGTCCCGGTGATGCCTGGACGTGTCCCAGTGATGCATGGACGTTTTGGATGTCTTGGTCTGTCTTCGCCTGAGATCTGCATGACAACTCTGTCTCTGTAGTTATGTGGACTTTGCACATTTCATTCTAAAAAGGCTGGATGTCATTATCTTTATAAAGACTTTTTAAAAATAATAAATATATTTATATAGCTACATTTGACTAAAAATGCAGCTCTATTCAGTACGCGAAATGAATAACAGGTAAAACTGTAGTATCAAAGATCAATTAAAAAAAAATATTACAGACTATATGTTCAATCAGAGAAAAGCTTGTTATAATAATGATTTCCATCTTTTTCTTAATGAAATGTGCATGGCTTACATAAACATAGAGACAGACCTTGTTACAATATCTGCGGCCTCTTTGACTGTGTCATGCATTTGTTGCTGCTCGGGAGTGCCCTTTGAAAACACCTTTCCACCATCTTCTCCCATAATATATTTAACATTTTTAAGTAGACTTAGAACCTTATTCTATGTTTTTCTTCCTATAATTAAACCTTGATAATTTTTGTTTTGTGAGAGGTCGTATCTCTCTGATTTGTTTATTGGCTAATTACCACTGAAGCTTTTATTTACGTACTCATCATCCTCCTTTAATGGGCACGAAGCGGGGATGCAGGCCTGCCTGTTCCGATATTAATTGACTTTGCAGAGCAACTTTGAAATGCTCCTGTGATGTTTAAGAGCGAGGAAGCATCACTTTTCTAAAAATGTCTAAGAACACAGCCAGGCTCAATCGCCCTACACGTGTTCTGCGGTGCTACTGGCTCACGTGGGAGCAGAAGCATCATTAAGGGGCATGCCGACCTCTCGCACTGCAAAGTGGGCACTGCGACACTGCGCTGCTCACTGCACATGCTGCTCTGGTTCATGTGGCACATGTGGGAGTGCAACGGCGTGAGACGATGAAATAAGAGCCTCAACAGGCAAATAAAAATAGCCAGAAAAGTCTTTAATAGCTATTAAAGTACTAAAACAAGTACAGTGTTCTCAAAAAATAACAGAAATGTATCATTAAGCAGTTCACATTTTGGCTAGCTCAGACAACATATAGAGTGTGCATTTCCTGTTTTTTTTCTGCACCATTTACAATAATCCTGCGTTTTTATTTCAGCCCTGGGAGCCTCAGTCCTTCTACAGCAGTTTTCCACATGAGGTTGTGTGCAGTGACTCCTGGGGTCAGTCTGTGCTCATCGCTACTGACACTGCAGGAGTTATGTTGCTGGACAGTAAGCACCAAGGCCTACAGTTCAGATAATGAGTTACACACACATGTGGTTTGTTATGAATTAATATCTCAAAACTGTTGTTTTTCAGGTCAGGATCCCACTGCTCTGAACTCAGGTGTGCATGTTGTTCGCCTATATTTACGTTGTTACCTACTAGTAACAAGTCTGACACATATTATAAACACAAGTATGTGCCTTTGGGTTTATTTTACAGACCTCCCTCTCTATGATGATTAATTTTTTTCTGCTTTGGTGTATTAATCTCCCACCAATTTCCCATCACAGAGCTAATTTTAATTCACTGTGTTCACTCACTTCACAGCATTTCCGCTGGTACATGTAATGATCTTGCAGCACAAAATTGATCAGATGGCCAGAAAACCATTTAGTAGTTTTGATTTTCATTTTTACTGCAGTGAACTAGGATTTTTATTACATCCACACATAGCTGATTTATCTCTCATGTGCAGTTAAGTTTTGTGTCAAATACTATAGTAACATGGCTCAGTATCAGCACACTACATCCATGTCTGTTGCAAATTTAACTATTTGTTTCAAAATAAATGCTTATTTAAAAATATTTCATGAGGATGTTACAGTAGCTGTTTTATTAATTTAACAATACATTGACTCTCCAAACTAATCATATAATCAGGGATTGACATAACTGGTACGCAAGTACACATTCACCTTTAAAAGCGATATGTGCGGCAATTGATTGTTGTAACAGCATGAATTCGTACATATTTTATGTGCATTTGCGCCCATATGACACAAAATTATTGTGTTTTTTAACTTTTATATGCTAATTCGTACTTCATTTGCGGTATAGAGGTTAAAATGCACGGTAATTTCTTGTTATATCAGTGCAAATGCACATAAAATACATACGCATTCACGCTGTTACAACAATCGATTGCCGCACGTATCGCTTGCGTACCAGTTATGTCAATCCCTGCATATACAGTAGTAGTACATTATCCTGTTTTTATTTCCATTTACTTTCAGAATTCTATTTAAACTCTGAGCAATACAGAGTCCATTCCCACCAAACCCGTTAAACTCTCCTCAGCCTAAATTGTAGTTACTTGGGGGCTGTTGTGTCTACAGACTAAAAGGGACACTTGTGTGAGTCGCTGCCTTTCTGATTTTCACAGACACGCCGCCACCTCCTGTGCAGGTGTTTGACAGAACCATGGTGGTCAAACAGATGCATGTTATTGAACCTCAGGATCTTCTAATCACTAGGGCAGACAAGGGTAAGAGAACGTTTCCAGAGGACACTTGCGGTCAGGCGGTTTGCCCAGATGTTTGCCCAGATGATGGTTATCTGTTGGTGTTCACCTGTCAGCAAGCGGTTTATAATTTTATGGAACTTGTGGCCCTGCAGACCACAGCATAGATAGTGAGCATGCATAATAGAATATTACTCATAAAGATAATGGATTTCCCAGGTTCTAATTTTAAATACTTTTAATATTAATAACAGCCATTAATGTTTCGCATTTTCCATGAACACTATTTAGTTGTTGAGTTGAACCGAAGCTCACAATCATCATTATGCAGAGCCTGATTTTATTACTGTTCTCTAAAACTTGTAAATCACCATGGATAAATGATAAATACAGTGATGATGATTAACTGACACATTCGGGTAACATGCAACATAAAGTCTGTCTGTTTGTATAGCTGTATTTTACTTCCTGAAGCAATTGATGTTAAGTATCGTTCGCAGAATTACAACTGTTTCTGTTCTCATAGTCATTAAGCACTGTGTTACATGTTCCCTGGTGGCCTTATTTTATAGCATGTCTAACAAGTACTTAGTAATATGAGTAACAGCCAGTATCACTCAATTCCCAGTCCATGGCAATGGCTGTACACTAAAATGTTAATAACAGGGGGTGACTTGGGAAGGCTACACACCTACTGAGAACATCACAGCCAAATGTAACAGTTATATTTCCTGTTGTTTTGCTTGTGAGTAGAGAGAAATAAGTATTTTATAGTTTATTTACGTATATTTGTAATTTTCCCTGAAAAAAATTTATTTCAAATAACTTTTCAATTTTGAGGCCTTAAAGACAAACTGTCATAGACAAAAGCACCAGAGATTTTTTACAGAATTATTAGGTTTTTCTGTAGATTGGCAGAACACAATAAAGTACAGCAAGTGACTCCTGGCAGCTCCAGTGCTAAGACACGGGTTTTCCAAACATCCCAGGTGCTACCTGACACCTCTGTCCTTACAGACTTCATTCATTTCCACAGAAAGATATTATCATTGGGCTGCTTCAGATCAAACCCTGTTCATCTGTCCTTTTTTGAAGTGTCACCCTTTGTCAGCTTCGTTAGGTGGCGGTCAATTAAAGTGAATGTATTGGTATTCCTGCAGTCAGATGAAGAAGGCCCCAGAGCGGCTGCCCTTGCAATGTGGCGTCCTGTCTTTTGCCCGTGGCTTTTGTCCATTGGCTCCAATCAACTTGTCCATACTTCCACCAGTATGGAAGTATATTCCTGCTACAATGTAGACCAAAATGCAAAATTATTTTGCATCTGCAGTTCTGCGTTTCATGTCGCACAATGCTCTCCCTAAGCAAACATTTTCCCATATCCATTTATAGAATGTGGTTATAACAGTACACTGCCTTGGGATCTATAATTTGCAAGCATATGAAACACTTGGGTAATTATGAAGAACAATTCCATAAGACACGGGGATTCTGTGGCAAATGATGGTTTATTGGGGTCTATTTTTCAGGAAAAGCAAAGCAGGCATCAGCACGAGAAAAAACATATAAACAGGAGAAATCAAACAGGCAGTTAGAAGATATGATCAGGACAGACCAGGTACACCTGGAAGGAAAAAAAAATGGTATAATTTTCCTTAAAGCTGCCATCTATGATGCACTATTGATACCCACCTAATGCATTATAATGGTCGGTATAAGAATTAATAATGCATTACAGCATCTTCTATTGACAGTCATACAGCATTATAGTATTGATTAATATACAGTACTTCATAAGCTCCAGTGAAGCTGTGATCTATAATGAATTAAAGAAAATATGGCTATAATGTGTTATGTCTTTTCATAAATATGTATATCCTTGTTTATAATGCATTATGAATTCAGTATTTTAAATGAATTATACTGTGCTATGAATGTGTTCATAGGTTCTTAAATACATTGCATTCATAGAAAGTGTTACCAAAAATCCAGAGTGCTACACGGCAGCTTTCAGGATGGGCATTTTAACCATAGTCTGACTTCCTGGAGGGAAGAGGAGTGCAGCACATTTTCAGAGAAATGAGGGGCAGGTACAACTAATCAATACACCGGCCTCTTGTCCCAGCCGAGTGGGATGCTTGGATATGTCAGCATGCAGGAACCAGTGTGAATGTTCTTAATATATTAAAAAGCAATTACATAAAATATATTTTAAGAACATTTGCAAAGTGAAAGCCTTGTATGTGAACCATGAGCTGATAATCTGACAGGTCTCGCTAACGTTTACCACAGACTTGGCAGAGATTTGTCATGAGTACTGTATCTCTGGCATCTTCTATAGTACCACGTCATGGGGGTAAAGGCTATCCAGAAAACATTAACGTCCATGACCCTAACATGACTGTTACCAGATATGAAGAATAAAGCTATTGCCCTTTCAGTCTAGCCGGGTATATCAGCACATCCATCAGTGGTATTGAAGTCCTTATATTATGTCAAAAAATATGATAATTAGAGTCATCACAGCACCACCGGAAACTGGGTGGTGTTAATAATCTGAAAATAATAGAGATGTTGAACTTCTGCTATACATATTACTGGACAACAGTATACTCTGTAGCCTGCTCACCAACAGGCATATGCGGCAGAATGACTCACTCCAGTCTGAAGCTACTCCTAACAGACGACCACGGGTCAAGCCTGTACCACTACAGGAGCGGAAACACGTGTCGTCTGCCTCTCGCTTTGCTATCGCTCCGGTGGGCTTATGGATCCATCCCTTCAAATAAGGGAGTGGGCAGAACTTCTTTCATCATCCTGGTGTCGAACTACGTAGAAAGGGAAGCTGGGAGGAGGCCGAATCCCCCCCCCTCCCGGCAAACTCTCAGAACCACCCCAGCAGCCTAATCCCATTAAAGCTGCAGATTGTGGCTGTCAGTGGGCCCCGCTCTCCAACCACCTCACCACTTGAGCACAAACAGGTCACAGACCAACAAATCACACTTGGGGGTGCCGTAGCCACAGTCACACATGAAGCCGTTTCCATAATCGTACATTAGTCCCTCACCAGTATACAAATGGGGATACTTTATCAAGTTGAGTCTTTAGCAAATATCATGTGTGGCTAATGAGTATCGAGCAATATGCAGTGAAGAACTGCACTGTAATTTCATCAAATAAATATTGCCTAGGAAAAAAATATTCAGGCAATCAGATACAGGGTAATGGCATCTTAGAGCGTTCAGCAATAAGAGAGACAGTTCTGGAAATGTATGTGTAATCACACACATTCATTGTAGAAGTACAAAGCTGCCATTTCAGTCAGGGAATTTGTATGTGTATCAGTGCAGTGTGATGGACTGTCCTGTCAACTGATTTATACATCTATATAAGCATAAGACTCATAATGATTACTCTTCTAACGCTTTCTCTGAAAATGAGGTTGTTCCCTTGATTTGTATTTTCATTAAGTACACTTTGGTTTGACGGCTGGGTAGTGCTGCATGAACAGTCACCAGGTGGATGGTCTCTCTGCCTGCTACTTTTTGCATTTCCCCTCGACAATGTAAAGACTAACTGCGGACGAGGAGTCAACTCTCAGTGCTGCACCACAGCTGCGTGTTCTGACTCCACCGTTCTAACTCAGCATGGGTCGGGGGGGTTGGGGGGATTGGCAGACAGTTGACTTTATGTCAGCTGCTCTTTGATGTGGGGGCACTTGCTGTTGATCTTGCAGTGGGGGGGACAGACAGTTGACTTCATGTCAGCTGCTCTTTGGTGTGGGGGCACTCGCTGTTGATCTTGCAGTGGGGGGGGACACACAGTTGACTTCATGTCAACTGCTCTTTGGTGTGGGGGCACTCGCTGTTGATCTTGCAGTGGGGGGGGACAGACAGTTGACTTCATGTCAACTGCTCTTTGGTGTGGGGGCACTCGCTGTTGATCTTGCAGTGTATGCCAGCAGACCGTCGTAGGACACAGGGGTTCACATGGCATCCAAAAATATATTTTTACAGTTTAAAGAGTTAAATAGAGTTCAATACAAAAAAGCAAGTATCAACAGTTAATTCTTAAAACCATCATGAATGGAATACTGATACTTGATTGATCCTTCTATTCCATCTTGCCCCCCCATGACACACATATAAAGCTCAGGGCAAGCTTGGGGGGGGGGGTTCACAGCCTCTAGAACAATTAGAGCTTAAAGATGTTGCTCAAGGGTCCAGTGGTAGCATCAGCGACCTTCTGATCATAGGTACAGTCCTGACTGACTGAGCCGCACACCGTCATGGATAGAATGGATGGGAAAATAACAGTTAACCTGTCATATAAAAATGTACTGTTGCATCCAGATGGAGTTGAGTGTAACTCAGTATGGCACATCATGCCAGTCCCCTTTGCAATCAATCCTCCTGCTCCCCTCCCCAGGGAAAGATGCCCGGCTCTACGTCTTCAGACTAAGCAGCCTCAGCAGGGGCTTAGATGGGCAGCTTGTCCGCACCAAATATGACAGCCGAGAAAACAAGCTGGAGAAGACGAAAGGTGAGATGGGCTGTTTTTATATACAGAATTTCATGCATTATTTCCTCTTTGAATCATCTGCCTAAATAGTAAATTCAGTATCAACACTGTACATGTGTCACATGATTATGGTTTGACCTTAATTTTAACATGCTCAGTGACAAAAAAAGGTAAGCATCCAGGCGTGATGGAAATGAAACGAATCTGCTTTGTGGTGAAAGGTCATGTGACTGTATCGCAATGATTATAATATCAGATCAAACGGACAAAAGAGTTGACAGTATGGGCACACTGCTGGTCCCATGACAGTAGGGTGTGCGCCCCCCCCCCCCCCGGGCCTGGATACTTGAGGCAATACGGAGCAGAAGGGAGTCATAAACCTGTTGTATCTTCTCCTGCGGCAAGTCGGCCCACAGCTGTTGTAACTGGTCCTTGAGATCCTGCAGATTGGCACTGGGTCTGAGTTGACGTCTGAGCTGATCCCACACATGTTTGATTGGGGAAAGATTGGGGGACCTGGCTGGCCTTGGGAGGAACTCATCATGAAGCAGGCAGCCCAAAGACACACATGCCTTGTGTGGACGTGTGTTGTCTTGTTGTAAGGCTGTTCCAGGGTGCCGTCTCAGGAGGGGTAAGACATGCGGCTGCAGGATGTCACTGACGTAGCGCTGTGCTGTCAGGATCTCTCAAATCACTACCAGATATGACCTGAAGTCACCATCTCCCCACACCATTGGCAGATTGGTCCACTCCCATCAGCGCCACCATACACGCTTACAACGGTCATCCATGGTAATGCAGAATCGAGATTCATTGCTGAACATGGTACAACGCCACTTGTCATCAGTCCATGCCTCCTGGTTACGGCACCACCCCAAACGCAGCCGTCTCTGTGCTGGTGTTAATGGCAGCCTACACATGGGACAGTGAACCTGCAGTGCGGCTGATGGCAGTTGTCCATACGCAGTGCGGGATGACATGGGGTGTTGTAGAGAGTCCAATACCTGTGTCCGGATGGCAGGCGCAGATGTCATGGGGATGTCATTCTGTGATGCTTGGTGCCCTCAAGTGCCCATTGGTTCCAACATCGTGCGACTGTGACATCTGCATGCTCCACATGCCGGGCAATTGCACGATACGACCACCCAGCCTCATGCAAACCCACAATGTAGCCCCTATCAAACTCCCTCAAGTGCTGCTAATGCTGTCTAATGCACATAGGAGGCATCCTCTGTGTCTGGTGAGTAGACATGCCAGCTCCTTGCAAACTGAATCATTTACATACCAGTCACTGGTCTGCACGTGTAGCAAATTACATCCAAATCAGACCATTACTTCTGGGTGCTTAACTTTTTTTGTCACTGAATATATTTGTGCATATAATCTTTCTGTTGGATCTATACATAAATATAGCTATTTTTTACTTAAGGAATTGTGGTATTCCACATATTGTACATGTTTGCAGATTACATGTATTATTCATTTCGATTCACCTCTATTCACCTATTTTTTATTTAGTGTTTACATATTTTTCTCATAATGTGAAACCACAATAAGGTCAGCTGCAAATTGACGGCTTAATACAAATACCACATAGAGCTATAAAAAAATCACTTAATTTTCACAAATTCAAATCACTTAATTTTTTTAACATAGATGTAAAAAGTTTACGGTACTTTAATATTGGGTTGTTTGGGCAAATACAGTCCAAATTCAATTTGAAGCCCGGGTGCCATAATTTACATCCACAATGGTGTGTTGAAATGAAAAAATGTAAATCTCACCAAAGACCCCAAGTATAGAAATTGCTGTGCATCACTTGTCAATAACATACTTGTTAAAGCATGTGGTATATTAATAAGGATATAATCATGTGATGAAGAAGCATTGCATTTTAATGCACAATAATAGTAGATCCATCCTTCCCACAATATGATAAGTTATTCATAGAATTCTTTTAACAGTGTCTAAGTTCTCATTTTTCTGATGTATCCCTGGAATTTTTACCCTGCAACTACTTAAAATTTTACCTCTGTAGGACATGTGCAATTTTGCGTGGATTAACAAGCTGAGTCAAGTTCTCCTCTGTACGGGATCTCAGTTTTACACTGACCTTAGGTCATTACAGTTGTTTCTGAATTCAAAAGACACTCACCCTGTTATCATGGAAAATACTTTGTGTCCAGCAAAAAAGAGTTAAAGCCATCTCTTGATTTTTGGGACACGTGTGGTCTAATAGCAGCAGACCAAACTGCAAGCCGAGCTGGAGAATTCTGTCTCCCCGTCCTGCTCGCTGGTCACTTGAAACTGGTAGAGTTTCAGATAGTCTGTCAGCTCTTTGGGTTGGAAGCAGACCACAGGATCAATCTGCTTGTGATCATGACGGCAGGCGCTGTTGCCCCATCTGTTGCGCCGTCTGTAACCCCATTCTGCTCCCCCGTCAGCACAGCGCCGTCTGTAACCCCGTTCTGCTCCCCGTCAGCACAGCGCCGTCTGTAACCCCGTTCTGCTCCCCCGTCAGCACAGCGCCGTCTGTAACCCCGTTCTGCTCCCCGTCAGCACAGCGCCGTCTGTACTGTAACCCCGTTCTGCTCCCCGTCAGCACAGCGCCGTCTGTAACCCCGTTCTGTTGCCCTGTCAGCAGAACGGGGTTACAGTAAGCTCTCAGATAGTGCTTTTCAGTTATTGGATGTGAGTGAGTAAATGGTCCTTGGAGAAAGACTTGAGGGGGTTAATCGCAAGCAAGAAGAGATAAAAATCTCAGTGTAAAAGATGAAAGGCAATGCACAGAATGTGATTTAGGGGGGAAAGGCTAAAAAAATGCATGAGCTAAGAGACACAGAGCAAGGAAGACAGTGAGTGAGGGAGAGTGGAAGAGAAGGAACAAGAGAGAGAGGAAGTGGAAGAGAAAGTGGGGGAGTACAGGAGCAAGGGAGAGAGTTTGAGAGGGAGTGAGAGAGAAAGTGAGGGAGGGGAAAGGGGGAGAGAAGGAGTGAGGGACACAGTAAGCAAGGGAGAGAGAGAGAAAGAGAGTAGGAGTGAGTGATCTCATGCGTTAATGGAAAATTTCTGTAAACGTTGTACAATACTCAAAGGTTTCAAAATATACATTGCATTCATCCAGATATAAAAATAGTCTACATATTCACATACAAAAGAACTATGAAATATAATAGGATAATATATGAACACAACAAGGAACATCACAAATAAACAACTGTTAGCTTATTATCAAAACTAAAATTTTCCAACACTAAGTTCTTCATAATAGATTTGGACCAAACTGGGAAATTAGAAAACAAAGCAATCAAATGTCCAGAAAGTGACCAAGGCTCTGTGAGGAAGTATTTCATGCAGCTGCATATGTCTGCCATAAACACAAGCATTCTCCCTCTGCAGGCTGCCATTTGTATTCCATTAACACTCACCATGGTGCAGAGCTGCGCATCGTGGCAGCCATTCGCAACAAGCTTCTCCTCATCACCAGGAAGCCGCTGCCAACAGAATGCCTCAGTGCCGTCGCCATGGTGACCGCGCCCCCTGAGTCACCCGTGGAGGAGTTCCAGTACATAAGGGTAAGCACCGTCGCCGCCTTGTCTCCCTCAGGAACCACCACGCTACCGCAGTGTTTCCCGATCCGATCGTCGGGGACCCGCAGACACCTTTTTGCGGGAAGCTGGGAGGGAGCAAAAATATGGACAGTCTGGCAGGAAGCTGGGAGGGAGCAAAAATGTAGACTGACAGGAAGTTGGGAGGGAGCAACAGTATGGACTGTCTGACAGGAAACTGGGAGGGAGCAAAAATGTGCACTGTGGCAAGGAGCTAGGAAGGATCAAAAATGTGGACTGTCTGGCAGGGAGCTAGGAGGGAGCAAAAATGTGGACTGTGGCAGGGAGCTCGGAGGGAGCAAAACTTTGGACTGTCTGGCAGGGAGCTTGGAGGGAGCAAAAATGTGGACTGTCTGACTGGGAGCTCGAAGGGAGCAAAAATGTGGACTTCCAGTAGGAAGCATGGAGGGAGCAAAAATATGGATTGTCTGTGGGTCCCCAAAGACCAGGCTGCATTCCTCACTGCCCACCCTAGTCCCACCTGCAATGATTAACCATTTTCTCTCTTCAAAAGGTATTCAGTTTCAGCATCTTGACTTCCCCCATTGTTTCATCTTAAGTGCATGTGCTGATTCTCACAGCTAGGGCTAAACTGCTGTGGAAACTCAACGCAGTATGCAGCTCAGGAAAACATAACGTCATGTTCTTTGAATTACTAACTGAAAACACAATTGGGCATCACTGGAACAGACAAGAGACAAAAGCAGCCCTGTATTTACATTAGCAATTTCCCACCTGCTAAGGTTTGTAGCCTTGTGCAGAGAATATCAACAGACCAATCCAGTCCAATCTGATTAACAATACATTAAAAAATATAAAAGATCTCTTTTCTGTCTATTTCTCTTTCTTTAAGGAAATCTGCCTGTGTGACCCTCCTGTTGTCATGGCGCTGGTGGACGGCCCGACAGGGGAGAACGACAACATGATCTGCGTGGCGTACAAGCACCAGTTTGACCTCATCAACGAGAGCACCGGGGAAGCTTACCGACTGCACCACGTGGACGCCAACAGGGTCAGCGTTAAAAATGCCGCTTCTGTTACTCAGGCGGAGGGAGGCGTGACCGAAACCCTTCAAATCAAATATGAGCAGGTTTTCAAATGGCACTTGCATTAAGCAAACACTCTAAACACCTAAAGATCCCATGGCTTTGGTGCTTAGTCAGATAAATTCAAATATTACTCTGTCATTTTGACATTTTTTTATTATTATTTTGCTGTAACAATCTGGCGTGTAACCCCATCTCTCATCAGCGCACGGTGGGCTTTTTCCCTTTCAAACCCAAAGTCAAATGATTAGTCTAATTTAGGCAGATGTATGTCAAAGAAATAAAACAACGCAATTTTATAAATGTACATTTCGTCAGTTCAATTTGCATTTATTACAAAAATAAATATTAAGTTTAGTTACACTGGGTATGGCGTTTTAGGCACCGAAGTACAGACTGCTCTGAGGAGCTGCGCTCCAGCACAAATTACGCACTGGACAGCGCCCATGTAAACATTTACAGCCGTGGAAAAAAATTATGAGACCACTGTATATTTTTTATAAATCTGCATTTTTAAACCCTGGATTAATCCTGGTTCTGCTGGCTGAAGGCTACACTGAGAAGCAGGCCGCTTCCAGGCTCAGAGTTTCTAAGACAGCAGTACACAGGAACAAGGTGAAGAAGGAGACATTGGAAATGACAAGAAACCAGCCAGTTAAAGGGCGGAAGTGACTTTCTAATGCCAGAGATGACCGGTAACTTATCTGACAGTTTCTTGTGAATCGTAGGAAGACATCAAGTGACCTTCAAGAGGAATGGGAAACATTAAGTGCAGGTGTGAAGTGCACTGCTAGGACAGTTTGTATCAGGCTCCTAGAGCAGGACTGAAGTCCCATGAAGTAAGGAAGAAGCCCTTCATTAATGAGAAACAGGGAAGAACCAGGCTGCAGTTTGCAAAAAAATACATAAATTATTCATAGACGCACACCCATAAATTGAGAAAAATTTAATTAAATTAATTGGGTGAAACAAAAAAATCTCTCTTCATTTTCTCCAAGGCTCTAGACCCCTAAGTAACAATACATATTGATTGAGTTATGACTGGACCGGCATTTTCATCTATCCTTCCATTGACCTTCTTACTCCAGGTCAACTTTGTGGCAGCCATTGACGTATATGAGGATGGAGAAGCAGGCCTGCTGTTGTGCTACAACTGTGAGTCGCAGCTTGCTGTCATTGTCCTCTCTTGTTTGCTCTTCTGCTTTCCTCGTCAAACCGACCCCCAACATAACTCACAGTCTAGCTTTTCATTATAGTTAAAGGCAATACAGTTATTCCTCCGAGCTGCCATTTGCCAGGGAGACACTGCAATCATCTGCTGAACATTAAGTGAAAAGTTGCTGGTTCGTTAACTGGCAGAGCCAATTTTCAGATTACAACTGATGTTCGGCACCAGAGCCATCTGTTGACAGAATTCCTCTCCAAGCCTGATGTCGCTCTCTGTTCCCAGAATGTTCTTAAGGTTGTATTTTCTGGTCATTAGGTTCTTGCTTTGTTTGACAGATGTTGTGTAGTTCTTCCTCCTATGCTGCTTGCATTCGTCGGAAGCTCAGTCTCCTCAAGTCATCTCTTTGACAGCCATATGTTTGTATTGAGCTATTTCCCGTGCATGTAACTCACATTAGAGAAAAGCACCTGCTAAATATAAATAAATATAAACATATCCTGCAGTTAGGGTTAGGGTTAGGGTATGGTATAGAAAGGGTTTG